TTATCGGTAGATTTTGTCACATATTTCACGGTTATTCAAAGAAAAACTTACATATTCCACATATTAACATTGCCCAAATCCATTTGCGATAAAAACGATGGCGAAAAAGCGTTGATCCCTCTCAAAAATCGTTTTCTTGTACCTCGAAACAACTTTTCGCCATACATTTCCTTTTAGCGACTAGCAATGTTTGCCCCTTGACGATCCCAGAGTTCTTCGCGCAAACACGGGTATCCAATTACTGGCAACTTATTCATCGCTTTCACGTGACATCATCACTTTCTAAAATCCGAAACAAAAGAGCTACCAAAGTTTTTATCCTCATCAGGCACAAGAGGTGGTATATCTATATCTGTTTACAATTTTACAGCTCAATAGTGTGCTTTGTTTGGAATCCAGAGCATTTTGAATTTCAGGGTTATGGAGGTGCCTGACACAAGGCTATGATCAAGTTTGTCAAAAAATATATACTTATCCCATGATTTTGAGCCTTTTTAGAAGTTAAAGCATTAGGAAAGGTGCTTATGTAAATTCTTGTTTGATCAGTACTGATAATCAGTCGCCTAGATAGCCAAAGTAAGTTCCAGATGTTTACACTATTTTCCGGCCACCAAATTGGTGTACCACGGAGGCTCTGTAAATATCGGCGAAACATTTCGACAAATATCTGAAGTTTGGGGAAACGCACAGGCCCAAAACTTGGAGAAGTGGCTTATTTACTCATCTTCTATAACATCATAATTTCATAGCTTTTTCCACTGGATGGTTTTCGATTTATTTTTTTATTGCGTGACAGTGAAAACAATCTATAATAATAATAATAAATAAATAAATAAATAAATAAAGATAGGGTGATATCTTGAAGCTTGGGTAGCATTTCTATGGTACCAAACACCGTAAGTTTTGATTTATCAGGATTTGGCTGTAAATAGTTTCTGAAGCACCAGTTGCACACTTTACATAAATCTTTATTCATTTCTGCCATAGCAATGTCATTGTTCTGAAGCTTAAAGGAGACTTGTATCATCTACGTAACTATGCAAAATGCATTTTTGTGGAATGGCAGGAAGATCGTTTACATAGATGCTAAAAAGGAGTGGGCCCAGGATACTACCTTGTGGGACACCACTACATGATGACAGGGACTCGTACAACGTAGAGTTTATCCTTACAACTTGCTGTCGATCACTGAGGTAACTGCGAAAAAAAGATTTTCTTCTTCGTTAAAAGATTTTCGGCTTCTGAAAGTGCAGATAGAATTTTCTTCAGGAAATCATTCCCAGAATCGCTGATACACAGAAGGTCTTGTGTAAGACAGCCATGATCGCCAATTGATTTGTCCAGCTAAGCACTGCGAAATGCTCCATGTACAGGATCGTACAGGATCGTACAGGATCTGGCAATTTATAAACCTTTTTGGGGTTACGAAAACTATTAATTCCCTTCGTAGGTTACAAAAACTATCAATTCCCTTCGTAGATCAAAATATTGTCCTGCAAGACACAAACCAGGAAAAATCTAGCCTTTGGGAAACGTGAATTCCCTTCAAAGAACAAAATGTGTCTTTAGAGACACAAAACTATTTCCTTTGGGAAACGAAAATCCCTTAAGGTGATTAGATAGATCACTGGTAGTAGTGAAACACAGAGCAATAGTACAACATCCATGGTTTTTATGATGCTGTACATGCGAAGCAAAATAGCCTGCTGGACACTGACACATGCTTGAAAGCTGACAAAGTTGTGTCTGTTGCTAATTGTGGAATGTGACAATAATATAGCACTTCTTGCTATAGTAAGAGATACAGAACCATTCGGTGTGTCACTGAGAAGACTTTTGAACCCACCGAAACAGGCAGATTTACGAAAGACAGTTTCTACAGCAATTGTTTTGTGAAATACATAATTAAAACATATTTACAGTGTCATGTAAGTCATCAGAGAAACATGTTTCAGTGTCAAATCCCAGTCCTGCAACATTTACATAATATTGCCTCTTCTTAAGAGGAATATGCAGCACTGATTCTAATTCTGTCAGTGTTAAATCGGATAGTGTAAAACACAGAAAGTTGACTGCAGACTGCAGACTGCAGACTGTAGACTTTTTAACTGAATCGTGTTACCGTTTCCATCACTGATAGCCAACCGTAAACAGGCTAACAAGTACGTCATCAATAGGCTAACATGAGTAATACAAAATAAGTGTTGATGTTAATGAATGGGTTTGTAGAACATGCCATAGACATGTAGTAAAGTATAAACTCCATCTGCTGTTGTTAATGGCATGGTAATTTTCCACAATAACAGCTCTCTTTGATTCAAATGAATATCAATGCAGATTGCTACCACCAAGAATTGCATTTCAAAAGCTAATGCAAGACAGTTTAAGATACAGGTAATATATTATTAGTGTTCTTGCTGATATTCTATTCTAACACTGCCAGTATGTTGCCATGGCTACCATGTAAGGCTAGTGCAATCAAAGTCAATTTTTTATAAAGATAGTTGCAATATAAGAGTTTTGTATTGTTAAATATCAACCCTTAGAAGGTAGTGCAGGCTGGTGATTGGTTGATTATAGCAATTTCTATAAAAATGATGGGATTGGTTTTAATCCAAAATAATACATTATTTGATGCAACAAAGACATTCACAACATGAAAATGTTAACTATGTAGTATGAGATAATCAATAATTATATATGAGCAACAATAAATGCAAATAACAAAAATGTTAGTCATAAAAAAATACTAGGTGCTGAAAATGAATAGAGTAAGTATGAAGGTGAAATGCCTGGAGGTGTTTAGTGTAGCATTCCCTGGTCTGCTGTATGGTAATTTGGGTTCAAAAATTGTTACAGTTAATAACCAACAGGCTCTATATATTAGATCACAAGAAGAGCCAAAAGAACTTCATACACATGTATGTGATTAACTTGTGCATGTTCAGTTCAAAGAACATTGGATTTAGTCTCAACATCATATGCACAACTGGATCATTCCACTGTTGTACACAGTCTTGCCTCTGAGCTACTCAAACAAGATCATGTTAGAAATTTAATTACCTGATAATAAAGGCTTTTCTTGTCAAAATAACCATGTTTAATAAATTGTTACATTCACTTCTCTAAGTAGTAATTTCTTTGCTCTGATTGCATTAAGCATAAACTGTTAAGCAGTAGCCACATGCACACTTTGCCAGCCTATTTTTTGTTGAAGCAAACGACCTCAATATCAAACTGTACACATGCGATCATGCTGTGATGATTAAATCTACTATAAATAGACAAATAAAGCTTTTCACAAGAGCTGTTGTGTGACTTTGCGATATGATAGCTCACCAGCCCTAATGCAAGTGTCAAAGTGTATCAGCTTGAACAAGCCCAAAAATGTTTGTCTGCAGGTAAAATTTTAATGCTCAGGTTGGATTTCAGTTTGTGAAGTTCTAGCTAGTTCTCCTCGCTCCCACTATGTGGGATTCATCTTCCAATGCGACTTCACTGTTACTTGTGTAACATCGAGAGTTTATCCTCAGGATTTTCTCTGGTGGCCTGACAACAAAACTGTTCGCTTTGATTTCCTAAATTTAATTTCAGGTGCTTAGTAGTAGTACCATCGATGTGTAGAGCAGATTGCCTCTTCTCAATCTTTACTAAACTTCGGAGCAGAAATTTACAGTGGCAGTTTCCAGCAACTTCACCTCACCAAAACCGTTCCCAAAGTGTAGTACAAACGCCAACATTTGGTCTTATTTACAGTTAACCATTAATTTAAAATTACAAATTGTAATAGAAATGTTAAATGAACTATGCCCAGAAAGTAAACAAAACAAGATTCCATTTTCAGTGCACAACCGTAGTCACATAGACCTTGACCTAGAAATGTAAATTGATACATGTGCCTGCAATATTGACTAATACAGTAATTTCAGGAACTTTATCTACTGGTCAGCGGAATCACTCCAAAAAGCCTACAGATGATGGAAGGACATCATTTGCATAATCTGTACCACCACTAAAACCCTATAAATTGCTTACGCAATCTCTGCATTGAAAAGTGTATTCTCTTGAAGCAGTCATGATAGTACAATAAATAAATCAAATTGAAACACAGTTTTGAATGTTCTGTATTGAAAATCACTATGCTAATTATTTCAAACACTCACGATGTCAACATCTTGAGCAATCTTTGTGTTTACGTATAGCCCATTAGAGGTCAAAACGTTTTGTTCACTGGTTACTGAATGGAGTTAGAGATAATTTGTTCTGTTCTTAAGATCTTGTGGTCTTTGTTAGGAGAAATAAAATTATTGAGCTAATATATCCTAAAGAGTTAGTTGCATACTGTTAAAGGGACACTATCATGAGCTGCACATGTGCCAGCTCTCGATTTAGAGTTTGAAAATCTGCTTTCCCTTAACTATAAAATAACACATTATGTTAAAAATTCCCTCAAAAAACAAACACTTATTATAAGCTGATATGAAAAAGTAGTTTTACACATGTGCAGCTCATAATAGTGTCCCTTTAAAACATTGGTTATGAAGATAATCATCCTACTAGTAGGGCGGTTTCAGTTTTTAGGAGAAAACAAATGCAATCAGCAGTTTTGAAGGGACAAAATATGGCAGTTTGCAGAATGTAGGAACCTCTATAATAGACCCTCTTGTTACCTTCATCTAGAGAAGCAGCTTGAACAGAAACTTTAGGAGGATAGTTCCCTGTGAAGAATGAAGTATCAATATCAAGCCCTTTGATAACACCAGGTATACCAAGTTTGATTATACACCAGTCATGTCCTGGAATTCTTTTGCGTTGCGTTTCCCATCCATCCATCCATTTGCCATACAAAGTGAACATTCCTTCACGCCATTCAGGAGGACTTGGCTGAAAAGTTCATTGATTTTGCTTTTAATATATTGTAAGAACAAAAAAGAGAAGACTAGAATGACAGGTAAACCAAGAAGCTCAGAGAGCTTCTACCTGACTGATTTTGCCTAATAATATTTTGTTAAAATCAAAGGGTCCATAAGCCAACTTGCGATATTTGAAACGGACATGATCATGTAATTCACATATGACAAGGGTGGTCAAAAAGATTTTGAGAGAGTTTGTATGATTGCATGAAACAGAATAACATTCTTCAGGAATGATTCATCAGCTGCAGGTTGACAAAGTGGTAGGATTTCAGGTGAGGCTATCCAAAGTTTGTGGGTTCAAGTCCTGGTGAGGGAACTTGTTTTTTTTTTTCTCCTGAGCTTACTAACAGATCGTTTACATTTATATAACAATGGGAAAGAGAAAATTAATGTTCAAACTACAAATGTAATGTGATAATATGAGAAAGCGAGACAGCATGGAGATTTCAAATAATTCATGTACTCTTAAACATCCTTGTACAAGCCATTGAAGTCACTGCAAATGAGTTGCATGAGCCAAACAAAGTTACGATGGTAGATTAAAGGTTAAATTGATCATTTGACTTGCAACGCTAATTTAGACATGTTTAACTCAGCTCTGCAATTTCACCTAAAATGACCTCACTACAGTATTGTGCAAAAGTAATGAGAGCGAAATGCACGAATTTTGTTCTTTGTCTCCACGAACTTTCTTTGAAAGTTCGCGCGAAAATTCAAGCGTCTTTTGGCAATGTCTTGAGCGTTATTTCTTCAAAATAAAGGACGAAAATTCACAGCATTTTCAAGACCAGAACAAAAATTCCTTACCAGAGGGATAATTCCACTTGCAGTATGCAAAATATTGCAGTGCAGCATGCTGACCAGTATGGAGCTATCAATGTATTGTTCTCTTGTGAACAATCGCGGACACATTAAAATTCGCTGTTGTTAATGTGTTAATCCGTCTTTCATGGTGAAGAATGTAGAGAATTTGAATTCTTTGATCGTTTTCAATGACACAAACTCGCTAACTTAACTGCAAGGCAGGAACAAAAGTGTGACTGCTAGTCCAGGTAAACTTGGACTAAAGTAAAATTCTCAATAAGGTCTTCTTGAAGGCCTACTTCACCACAAAATTCATCCAAAGTGACATCAAATTCAGTGATCGATGGACAAGCAGACATCTTGTTTACCTAGTGCCAGGTCTTCACATGCCCAGTTTCCTCAGCTGTTATCACGTTCACCACGTTCTTGTCCCCCTGCCATGGTTGATAGTATATTATTCGCAACAATCCCTCTTTATTTCACACTCGTATATAAGAGATGGAGACATGCGACCGCACTTGAGCATGCTGGAAGTGCAAAGGAATAGGATTAGGGAAGGAAAAGTGCAGAGACGTTTGGATGGCAAGTGCAAAAGGGAAAGACACAGCTGCCACGAGCCAAAGAATTCTTACGTGAACTGAGCCAAAATGAGATGCTCTTATTTAAGCTTATACCATACCCCCACTGTAAGAGACCGGCCTGAATAGTTCGATAATAGCTTCGAACCTTCAACGGTAATATCACAAGGTTGCGCAGAGCCTGGGTTCATTGTGGCTACACTGCAAGTACTTTTGCAAGTAGCATTTCTTGTTCAATGAAATCAGGTTGGCAAACAGGCCATTTGAGCTTGCGAGCTTTGAGACTGTAACAAACAAAGTGATATCAGCTTTCTCTGGACATAAGCAAGGTAAGTTTGTGAGAAAAGGCTTTGAGATACTACCATCCTTCACAATGATATTAACGTTTTTATCGGGCATGTTCTTCTTTTGCTCTGGCTTAATTCATCTTACTACTGGGGATCAATGGGAAACTTAAGGAACAGAGCAAATTTTTGCTAGAAAGTTTGAAGGAAAATTTGAGGAGAGCGTATTTTTGCTCGAAAAATTGGGCCGAATTATCAGTAGACACGACTTACTGCTCAAAAATTCGCGTCAACTAAAACAATGGGTAGCGGAAAAATTCGTTGAATTTTCTTCAAATTTTTGAGGTGAACAAAACTTCGCCATTTTTCGTCGAAAAGCCACGAAATTCACAAATTTCGTCGAATTACACTCTCATTACTTTTGCACAATACTGTATGTCTTTACTGTGGGTTAAATTAGCCAATCATTGCAACAAGTGCATGGAAACCACTCACATGGGTCATTTATTTCTATATTTCAGTGAAAAAGTGGCTCTTATGTGACATTCAATTTCAATAATTACCGTACATAAATAAGGACATGTTGTACTGAGACTGCTACATCTGTATCTGCCTCGTATACTCTTAAAAGAAGCCATAAAATGCTTGTACATACCGTTGAAGTCACTTCAAATGAGTCAAACGAGCCAAACAAAGCTAAATTAGAGATTAAATTGATCATTTGATTTGCAGCACTAATTTAGACATGTTTAACCTCTGCGATTTCACCTAAATGAGCTCACTATGTCTTTACTGTGGGTTAAATTAGCCAATCATTGTGACAAGAGCATGGAAAGCACTCACATTGGTCATTTATTTCTATGTTTCAGCGAAAAAGTGGCCCTTGCGTGACATTTAATTTCAATATCTGTCTGTATACGAAAAAACATAGCCACAGAATTTGACTTGTGTCACTGATAATCTTGATACAATTCTGTCCTAGAGCTAGCTTTCCAAGGCTTATCATGGCTCAAATAAAAAGAAATAACTCTCCTGTATGATGTTTGAGGCCAGGAAGACTAAATTCACCATCTTTTCATTGAATCATGAATTGTACAATTTAATTAAGACTGCTTCCAACATGAACTTCAAACACTCTGCATGATGTCAGTACCTCAGTTGTTGACCGGAAGCCACACAAATAAATCTCTTCCGCACTAGCGAATCACAGATATGTCTGCTGCTTAGCCAGGCCGAGAAAACGTAAAATTGATAAAACAAGAAAATTCTCCTCCCGTTCGTCGCCATGTTTTGCTCTCAAATAGCAATGTCCCGGATGTACTTGAATTTCATCTAACGGGAAATGCCATATCCAACACTTCTACAGATTAGTTGTAGAGTCACCAGAATTCAGGTCAAATAACACCAACAACAGCTAGAAATGTTTAGTTCCTTGCACTTCTAAGCCCCAAGAGAGGGGAACATGGGGATTCGCAGTGTTACGGTGTTGATGTTTTTTTAATGCAGTGATGCAGTGAATAAAATCTCAACTTGCGGTGTTGCGGTGATCTCAAACCCTACAGTGTGCAATGTTTGTGTTTTTCATGCTGCGGTGTTCGGTGAAATGAAATTGTTTGCAGTGCTGGGGTTTTTGATTTACCTTTCTCAAACCTAAATTTGACCTAAATTACCATTGAGGTTAATAATTTGTAGCAAAATACAGACCATCACTTTCTAGTCAGTCTTCAATATGCTTTGGCTGCCAATCCGAAGTTGTTTTCATTTATATGTAACTTGGCAAGTAACTCGATCTCTGCCACCCGGAGCTCAGTGTTCAGTAGACACGTAGAGGAGCGAGGACAGAAACAATCCTGGAAATTCTGGAAACACCAAGGCCGAATATAATGTATTACTGACTGTGCAGCTTTTTTCTACGAAAAAAGGAAAAGGTGGCAAAAACTACCGGCCACAAAATATATTCAGATGTTGCATCGGCAGGGAAGGAAGAAGGCTTTCTTAGCTAAGAAAGTTTTGTAAATTACACAGGTTTACTATTTTTTTTCCTTTTGCTATTCGGCTTCGTCTAAAGGTCATTCTGATACCGGTCTATACCTGCTCCAAGGTCCTGCGACTTTCTTGACCTTCTATTTTTTCAAATGATTATCGATATTGAATGCAAATGCAGCTAGCTCCGGAAAGCAATACTTTCATTCAAAATAGGGCTTCAGTCAGTGGCTTTATACACTAAGGAAAGTGAGCGAAGTAAAAGGAGAGAGGGATCTGGGGTAAAGGCCATCTCTCGAGGTTCTAGCCTACGTGTGGCCATACCTCTGGGGGTGGGTATGGGTACACATAGGCTATTGAGGTTCCTCTCTTTTCTCGTCGTCCGCTTCCTAGATTCACACAAGGTTTCTTCACAAGAGCAAGAAAACTGATTTACAGGCATGAGCAGTATTGACATATGCCCAATGAAAAGCCTTGTAATGTGTTTATTTTGTGGAAAATTGTTCAGGTATAAAAGTATTATTTTAAATGTAGATGAACGAATCATGGCGCTAAAAATATGTGTTGCAGTGACTGTGTTTTGTTGATTTTTCTTGCGGTGATGCGGTGTTTGTATATTTTTTTTGCGGTGTTGCAGTGTTCAGACCCCCCCATGCCCCCCTCCTACTAGATGCGGCTAAAGCTCTTTGCTGTCTAAAGCAAGCACAACATTATTGCCACTGACAGTACAAATGGCCTACTCATCACGGGGCTAAATGTCCACCTGTCACCGTGTTAGGGCCATTTCAAGTACGATAATGGATGACACTTGCTAGAAAATCATTAGACTTGCTCCTTCAATGGACTCAATGATGTCCTCTGACAGACTTCCTTTAGACAGCAGTTATAGAAAGCTAGCTGATCAGCGCCATCTCCAAGTCACTGCGCAAACTAAAATTCAGACAAGTGTAGCCTGGGCTAAACTTAACACTAATTGAAAAAAGCAGAAGAGGGGGGGGTAGTGCTAAATAGTTTTAAAAAGAATAGATAATAGCAAGAAGTTCTCTACATTTCATGCTAGGTAAGCTCCACAAACTGCTGCCATTTGGAAATTCCCCCCNAATTTCAACTGTCACTGACACAAAATGAAGGGTCATCTTTGAAAGGTCTCACTCCATTTCGGCAAAAAAAAAAAAGAAAAAAAAATACAAAGCAGCAAAACGAATCAAGAAAATGATAAAGGCATGTTTGTAGAAAAACAGACAGATAATATATATAGTGAGATATTGGTCATAGACCTAACAATTAATTGTGCGTTATAGCTGTTTGCTCATTCACAGAAAATGTGCTTTAGAGGTTAGTTTTTAACCACTCATTGTCATCTTTAGGTTTTTCTGGGTTACTGAAACCTGTCACGTCAGTGTTTAATAATTATTAAGCCTGTTATTTGTTGTCAAATTTAATTTAATAAATGCAAGTGAGTTGCATAAACCGAGGGCTCAGACATAAACAAAATAAAATACTAAAAACAACCTGTCACAAATACAGTGAAACCTATATTAAGCAGACACCCTTGGGACCCTCATTAGTGTCTGTTTAATACAAGTTGCCCACTCAAAACAGGTTCTAATAATTATGTTGTGCAATAATAGTTAATTATTAACCCTTTTGTAACACAGTGTAACACAGTGTGAGATCAAAGACTGCTCATAGCACAATGTCCAGTCAGTCAATGTGTCAATCTGGAAATCACTTAGCTTTAAAACAACATTGCTGAACAATGTTGAATGAACCTCAGCTGAACTTTTAGAGGTAAATACCCTTGAAGTGTCCGCTTATTGCAGGTTTTGTGAAACAAAATGGCTCTATGTTGGTGTCTGTGTCTGCTTAACATAGGTGTCCGCTGAATGTAGGTTTATTTTACAGTAAATGTGGGAAGAAAATTTAGGGACTCAAGCTGGTGTCTGCTTAATAGAGGATGTCCGCTTAATAACGTTTATAGGCTGATATAAAGACCTTGACTCATTTCACGCCCTAAAGGCCTGCAAACGAGTAGTAAGCTATTAATCAATTCCAAGAAATGGAATCATTTAAAGGTAGAATAACTTGAGCACATCAATTCGATTGAATTTCGTACGACTTCAAAAGCAAAACGTTTAGCTCAATAGCAATATAGCTAGTGCTTCTCAGTATAACGACTGCCAGGGTACGCGCAGCAAGGCATCTAGTTCAATTTCTTTCTGGAAAGATTTCAAATAATATTACTTATCTTTGACAAAACAGCAGCTAAATGTTAATCTGAAGGATACACTAATCGTTTTTTGGGCACCAGACCTTCCCTTACTTAAGCCTAAGCTTGTTAGCACTCACAAAAAGTGTAATTTTGGGGTCAAGTTTTGCTCTTTTCAGGGCAAAATACGTAAGGCCGTCTCCACAAGGAAATAAAAATCCAAACAACCTCACAGGTACAGTTTTGAAATAAGTTAGTAAAAACCTTCTTCCTGACAAAGTTTAAGAAAATCGAATATTTCTATTCTGCATAGGTATAGGTGACCGTTAGAGAAATCTGCTCTCAAAGGCACTATGGGACTCTGGGACATCCAAGCCACATTTTGCAGTATACAATTGAAGGCTGGAGTGAGTGCAAAACCATGCTAAGTGACGATTTGGGTGAAAATTTTCGCGAAAGGGCTTGAATTTTTTCAGGTGGTCTTCAATGTAATAGAAAAACATGGTCCTGTATTTTTGTGGCTGGTTTTTGCTTTGTTTTCGAGTTAAAACGTATGCAAAAAAACTTGGCTTTTCCTAGCCATGTCTTTAGGAGTTTATTTGTTGAACAGCAAACAGGCAGACTGTTTATAGTGTATGGAGTCAAAATCAAATCCCACAGCATATAGAGTGGAATTCTGGGAACAGATTGTTTACATCGGTTATTGTGACGTGAACACAACACGTGAATCGATTGAGCGTCAAACAAAATACCATAGAACAAAAAAGAGATGTGCTGCATTAAAGCTCTGTCAACTAATATCTTCAGCATTGTTTTAAAGTACCTTGTATGCCTGTCTGGTGGTTGAGAGCCATCATAAAGTCTCAATAAACCCATAAGTCATCAGCACGTTTTAAAGAATCAAAATGTGTTCTGAATCTTCGAAGGCAGCTGATATACCGTAATTGTGTTATCGGTGTTTGAAGTCAGATCGAGCCAGGTAATAAAGTCCAAGATCAGTTCTTGCCCAGGAAAAATACCCTCTGGTGAGTTGTGGCCCATTTGCCAAGCGATGCTAGGGTCAAAGTTTGGAAAGCGAGTACTGGTTTTAGACTTATAAAATTTGTCTTGTATCGACCGCCATGTTTTCCCATGCACAAGGTGTAAAGACCCTTCCCAGCATGCATTGTGATCACCTTCTGCGGACGTTCTCGAACTGTTAACTAGATTGGTTTTTCCTTTTTCATTTACACATAATAATGGCCAACAAGTAGCGATCGATTGTAACATAGATCTGTGATCCAGGTTGCCTTGATTTTATTTCAAATCAGCATGATTTGTAGTGTTTTGAGCTTCTGGGATACCCATATGTTGCGCAGAAGGGTTAATCTGTTAATCTGTCAGCCCTATTTATAGAGCGTTTTCATGTGAAGTCATCAAATTCTTAAATCCAAAACTAAACAGCC